TAAACTAAACTTATAAGATGATATACTTTACTTAATAGAATACCCCTTGTATCAATACTAATAATGATCTTATTTTATTACCAATAACCTAAATGAAATTTTCTTTATTATTATAATAGAAATTCCATAACTTTTAAAATAAAATTAATACATATAGACATCATTCTAGCAATACACTACCATATTCATTTTTCATTTCATATTTGGTCCATTTTTCATTTCATCTATCACACAAGTGTGTGTGTATGTTTGTATGTTTATATATACACATACCTACTAATTAATTTCTTATCAAATTCATATATTATAACATTTTACTTCTCATCTTATCACGTTACCAAATCAAAATAATTTAAGTTTAAACCTCAAATGCTAAATCTTCTCTCCAATTGACCATGTCCACATATATACATATATTAGTGGCCCAATTTTCATCACCAATATTATGATGATATTAATAATTATTATAGTAAATCATTTTTTATCCCTACTTTCTTTCTTCTTTAATTACTTCCATCCATTTTTTTTCTCAATATCATCATTTTACTATCTTTTTCCACAAATCTCTTTCACTCAATCTTTGATTTAATTAATTAAATTTAACACCAATTTTATCTTCCTTCAATTATTAAGGAACCCTAAAACAAGAATTTTAAATTCCCACTCATGAATCAATTAAGTACTTAAACAATTAATTAAATTATTATCTAAAGAGATAATTAATTAATTCAACAATTAACTAAACAATTAGCTAATTAATTAACTTATAAGAATTTGGACCCTACCAAACAATTGATTAATTATATTATTAACTAAATAAATAAATAATTAGCTAAACAATTAGCTAAATAATTAACTAACTAATTAAATTATGTAAAGAAAATGAAAGTAAAAAAAAAAAACATACCTTAAAAGGAAAGGAAGTGGAGGTGCCCCACTTCTCCCAAATCACCCCATATTTATAGTGTAGGAAAAGGGTTTAAAGTGCAATTTCTCAAATTGCACTTTAACCCTTGGGGTAAGTATGCAATTTCCTTATTTACTTATAAAATTGCACTTTAGTCCCTAGGTAAATATGAAATTACACCTTTTTAAAATGAAATTGCACCTTCCATACCCATAATATTATGTTACTTATAATTTCTATATAATTTATTTTATCAATTCAATTAAGTCCCTAAAATTTTTAAATCATTTCTAAAATATTAAAATTTTTACTGGAAAATTCCGGAATGTCACAGCAGTCTATTTCGATGTGCTTTGTCCTCTCATTAAAAACAGAATTGCTAGCTATGTGAATGACAGATTGATTGTCGCAAAACAGTAAGGATGCCTTGTTCTGTTCAATACCCAAATCATTTAGCAGATTCTTAAGCCAGCTTATTTGACATACAGCTGCTGCCATCTATCTATATTCGGCTTCAGCAGAAGACCTTGAAACAGTATGATGTTTTTCGATTTCCGCGATATCAGTGAATTCCCCAAGAAGATGCAATATCCAGTGATGGATCTTCTAATGTCTGAACA